CAGCTGCCTTTTAGAGCCACTTGTGAACCTAGCCATGTAGGGCAGGAGGTAGGAGGATTGAGAGTTCAATCCTGGGTCACACAGAATTAATGTGCTCACCCCACTTGTCCCTGATGTCTGAAGGTGGCCTGGGCAGCAGCAATAATCCCTCCCCCCTTCTTGCCTTTCTTCCTCCATCCTCCTGTCCCTCCTCCTTTTCCTCCTCTTTCGTGGTACTACGGATGGAACCTAGGGCATACTGGGTAAGCACTCTACCCCTGAGCTACATTCTCATCCCTTTATTATTTTTATTTTGAGACAGGGTCTTGCTACGTTGCCCAAACTGGCCTTGAACCTCTGCCTCAGTCTCCTGGGATTACAGGCCTGGATGGCAGCAGGAATTCTTTGAAGCGCTCTGTGACTGTAGCTGGTGTTAGCTGGGCTAGACCCCAGGTGCTGGGCTGGGTACTATCTTGCCCTAACTTCACATGAACAAACAAGGACTGACCATGGAGGAGCCCATCCCTCAGATGAGGAAACTGAGCTCTGAGAGGTTTAATCACGTGCTTAGGGCCACAGGGACAGGATCTTCAGCAAGGGGACAGAGCTGTACTGACTGCTCCAGAGCTGGTACTGCCATCCAAATGGGGATGAGTGGGGGACAGTAAGGGTAGTCAAGGAAAGCCTTCTAACTCACCCTGGCAAGCAGACTCTGGCAATTCTTCCAGCAGTTGTTTGCTGAGCAGGGAAGGCCTGAATAAACCTTAGGCAGTTGAGGCCAAAGGCTGGGCCATGGGCATTAAGACACATCAATAGAATTCAGCCTCAGAATGTGGTACTCAGTCCAAGAATGGCTGTGTCAATCTATTGTCTAGGTATCCAGACGTGACACATGCCAGGACCTGTGCCCAGTCTCTGGGAGATTTTGTCTTTTGAGTTTGTCACCTACAGCCTGGTGGGGTTGGGGGAGAGAAATACACAGTTCACATCACTGCAACTTGAGATTGATCTGTGGAGCTGGCCTTGCTGCCTCATACCTGGTAGTTCTGATGTGACTTTTAGGACCACAAGGACATGGATCTAATTGAGTTCCTACTGCAGCCTGGTTCTTTTCTTGTATCATCCCTTCTGATCCATCCAAGAGAAAGACATGGTGAGGTGCTTGTGATAGGGCAAGCCCGGGCCAGAGTTTGGGACAAGGCATGGAACCTGGTTAAAACTTAAATATAGTCGGGTGTGGTGGCACCCTCCTTTAGTCCCAGTACTCAGGAGGCAGGGATGGGTGGATCTCTGTGAGTTCAAGGTCAGCTTGGTCTATATAGTGAGTTCCAGGCCAGCTGGGGCTACAGGGAGACCCTGTTTCAAAAAAGACCTCCCTCAAAAAACTTAATTGTATAGGTTGGGGGTGTGTGGAACGGATGGTAAACATCTGTAATCCCAGCACTTGGGAGGAGGGAGGAAGATCTTGAGTTCAGAGTCAGCCTGCGCTAGATAGACTCTCAAAAAAAGGGTGGAGAGATGGGGAGATAGCTCAGTTGGGAAAGGGCATGCCTTGGCAGGGTGAGGGTCTAAGTTAGATCCCCAGAACACAAGTAAAAAAAAAATGGTGTTACACACCTCTAATCACTGCTAAGGAGGTGGAGACAGGATCCCTGGAGCTCACTGGCCAGCTAGCCTAGCCTACTTGGTGAACTTCAGGACAGTGAGAGTCACTCTCAAAAAACAAGGTGGACAGTCTCCGAGGAGCAACACCTGAGGCTCTCCCCTGGTTTCCATATATGTACACACACACACACACACACACACACACACACACACACACAGACGAGGGGGCTGGGATGTGGCTCAGTTGTTAGAGTGCTTGCCTAGCATGCAGAAAGCCTTGAGTCTGATCCCCAGCACTGCATGAGCCTGAGTGGTGGTGCATGCCTGTAATCCTGGCACTTCTCAGGAGATGGAGACAGGAAGGTCAGAAATTCAAAGTCACCTTCAGCCACATAGTGAAACATGAAACCCTGTCTCAAAATTAAAAAAAAAAAAATCAACCAAATGAACCAAAACCAAACCCAACTGAAAAAGGGACTAAACAAAAACCAAGCACAAATAATAGTATCCAAACTGCCCAAGCGAGCTGTCAGCGCCTGCATTATTGTTCTTGTTTGTATGGTGTTGTTCACTTCTGGTCAGTCAACACATCAAATGATGACTGTCTCAGGAAGGCATGTCTGTGTCTTAATCTCTGGCACTATGGCCCTATTTGGTCTTTGCAGATGTCAGTGATGGGGGTGGGGGGGATCTTATGAGGTCATCCTAGATCAGAGTGGGCCCTTGTCCCATAACTGGTGTCTTTAGAGAAGGGTGAGGGTAATGAGGGGTGGAGACTCAGAGAACAGGGCTGGGTCATGTGACCAGGGAGGCAGAGCCTTGTGACTCACACACTAGGATGCCAAGGCTTGCAGAGCCATGAGAAATTGGGAGAGACATGGAACGGGGTTTCAATGAGCCTCTAGAAGGGGCCAGGCATGCTGACCTTCAGCTTGCATTTGTGATCTCTACAGTCATGAGAGAATGAACTCCTGTCATTTGAAGGCACTCTGCGGATGAGCTGTTGGCACAGCCCGAGACAAAAGTGGCCCAAAGTCTGCTATTCTAGTTGCAACCTGCCTCTTTGATACACTGCGTCTAGGATGAAGTGTTAGGCAGGTGTGTGTCTGGGTGGGTACAACTGCTGTCAGGAAGTGAGGCTGGGGTGTGGGGCCTTAGAGGAGGGGCACGGCCCTGATGGTTGTGGGTTCTAGCTGTGGGTGGGCACCATGGCAGTCTAAGTGATGAAGCCATGAGCAGGGTGAGCCTGGGGCCCTGCGGCCTATGGGGAGAGTACTGGAGCCTCCCATTGGCCATCACACCCCCGAGTGAATTCCTGGGAAACTCCCTCCTGTGTCTAGTGAAGTGGAACTGACTTTCCTTTGGAAAGAAGCATTTTAGACCTAGAGGGGTCTTTCCCACCACCCTGAAGAGCCACAAAGAAGCAGATGGGAGCAGAAGGGGGTTTCCTCAGCTGGCTGTTTGGGATGGGATGTGGTCTTCCCCTCCAGTGAGGGACTCTAGCTCATGGGCAGGCAGGTGGGATGCTGCCACCTGCCCCTACCTGTCCCTCCTGCCTGCTGTGAGCAGGGCATACCAGGACAGACTTTGCCAGGCCTCATGTCCCTTGTTTTTCTGGGGAGGGACCCTCACTAGGCTCCAAGGAGACAGTGACGGCAGCTGATACACAGGGAGCACTTCCAGCGTTGGGGCAAGGACATGGCAGGAACTGGAAAACTAGAAGAGGGAAAGTGGCTGGCCAGGCCACTGCCCCAGCCACTGGAGAGTACTGGGGTTTTACCCTGGTTGGGATTTGTCAGCTTTCCATTGTGATAAATTCCAGGGGTAATCAATCTGGAAAGAGCTGGGGAGATGCTTGGTTGGTAAAGTGCTTACCTTGCAAGCATGAGGACCTGAGTTCAATCTCCAACGTCCATGAGGGGAAGCCAGGCCTGGTGGTGCTGGGGAATTGAACACAGGGAGATCCCTGGGGCTCACTGGCCAGCCAGCCTACCCTACTTGGTGAGTTCCAGGCATGTGAGAGTTTCTGTCTCAAAAGATAAGATGGAAGCTGGACATGGTGGTGCATGGCTTGCCTTTAATCACTTGGAGGCAGAGGCAGTTGGATCTCTGTGAGATTAAGGCCAACGTGGGTCTACAAAGTGAGTTCCGGGCCAGCTGGGGCTACAGGAAGACTCTGTCTAAAAAAAGGGGGGAGGTAGAGAGATGGCTCAGGGGTTAAGAACATTTGCTGTTCTTCCAGAGGACCCAAGTTCGATTCCCAGCTATACATGGCAGCTAAAAACCATCCCTAATTCTGGTTCCAAGGGATCTGACACACTCTTCAGGCTTTTGCAAGGTACTGCATGCACACAGTGTGCTTACATATGTGCAGGCAAAACATTCATACATATTAAAAAAAAAAAAGAGCAGTGCCTGAGGAATGACACCTAAGGTTGACCTCTGGCCTTCATATATGTGAACACAGACATACATGCATACCTGCACACACATTTCACCTGCATACACAGAAATAAAAAAATACCAGGTTTATTTTGGCTTATAGGTTTCAGAAGCTTTAGGTATGATCCACTGGCTCCCTTGCTTTGGGCCTGTGGTGGTTCATTATGGTGGGAATACGGCACAGCAAAGCTAGTCACCTCATAGCTAGAATGAAGGAGAGAGGAACAGGAAAGAGCGGGGGTCCCACTAGCCCCTTCAAAGGCCCATCGCTAATGACTTAAAACCCTACCATGAGGTCTCTCTTCTTAAAGGCACTACCTTCACACCCTCCCACCCCGCATGGCACTGTGCTGGGGACAGAACTTGAACATAAAGCCACAAAGATGTCAGACCAAGAGCCTCCCCAGTCCAACCACTGAGGCCAGCAGGCTGAGGGGCATCCTTGCTACATAGACAAGACCAAGATCAGAGGGGACCTGGTCCAGGCCACAAGCTGGCGAGTGGCATACCAGGAACACTTGCTACAGATTCCACTTACCACAGAAGAGATGGAAAGGAAGGAAAATGGAAATCCTCCAGGCTTCAGAGAGAGCTGTCTGTTAAGTGACTTGCCTTGGAGTTATGAGGACCTCCTGACTTCCATCTCCAGAGCCCATATATAAAAAAAAATACAGGCCTGGCCAGGTACATTTGTAATCCCAGAACAGGAGGACTAGAGACCAGCATATTTCCTAAGGCTCCCTGGTCAGCCTAGCTGAATCAGCAAGCTCCAGGCCTGTTAAGTGAGTTGCCTTGGAGTTATGAGGACCTCCTGACTTCCATCTCCAGAGCCCATATATAAAAAAAAAATACAGGCCTGGCCAGGTACATTTGTAATCCCAGAACAGGAGGACTAGAGACCAGCATATTTCCTAAGGCTCCCTGGTCAGCCTAGCTGAATCAGCAAGCTCCAGGCAAAGTGGGAGACCCTGCCTCAAAAATATCAAGATGGTGAGTGACTGAAGAATGACACTAGCTCTATATGCACACACCTACATTCATGCACACACACGTACATTCACTAAAAGTAAGCCACTGTGGCTGACTAGGAGTCTCCTGGCTCTATCTATCTCAAGGTCACTTTTCCCCTGAGCATCTTTCCAGTAAGTTCCTTTTCTAGATTGAAGCTATCAAAACATATGAATGCCATCCCCACCCCAAAGCAGGGTTGCTGTGGGGGTCAGCACCCTAGACATAGCCATGGCAATGCCCCATGACTGATATCTCCTGTGAGCCCAGACAGGGATAAGGGCTCTCAGCTGGGCACTGCAGGGGTGTCACTTACTAGGTCTGGGGGTATGTGCTTGTAGTTTTAGATTTGAGTTCCTGATAATTCCAACACTGATCCACGTCTGTCAGGTGCTACTTCCTCTCTTTCCTGTCCCAGTCTGGGGATGTGTGTCTCTGCCACATGGGTTTCAGATCAGGATGGACAGCACATAGGTCTGGGCACCTGTTTCCTCATGTGTGTGTAGGGGATGGTATGGGGCAAGCGCTGCCCCCTCAAAACCTGGGTCTCTCTACCGAGAAGGCCTGGCTCTTGGATTAGAGACCTGGGGTGGGCAGGGAGATAGCTGAGCTGCCACAAATCCTGTCCCCCAAGGCAACCTTCAACCTCCACCCCATGCATCCTTCTAGCAAGTTCCTTTCTAGACTGAAGCCATTTAGATATGTGAATGCTTCAGTCAAGGAGGGCCACAGGTGGGTCTTGGCCTATGCCCCAGTGGAGAGTGGGCTCCAACCCCACCCAAAGGTCCCCAGAGCATTCCTAGGTGCAGGACTCAAGGCGGATTTCCAACGAACTAAGACAACCTTAGGCCAGAAGAGGAAGTGGGCCTTGTTGGTTGCCCACATGGGGCTGGACCTCCTTTCTTCTGCAGACTCTGTGAGGTGTGTCTAGCTTCTTCTTTTGGGCTCTCTCTCAAGGTCCTGAGGGTCCCAGGAATTTCTGAGCCACGTTCAAGCCAGAGCATCAGAAGTCATGGAAGACCTGTGATCACACGTCCAGGGATTTCATGTTGGTACATGTCAGCATGTGCAGGAAGGTGACCACCCATGTGTCACCTGACTATCCTGGGTGGGGGCCCTCCATGACCTCCTGGTCCATGTAGCCATAATGCAGTAGCTTCCTGTCTCTGTCCTGACAGGCAGGGTGCACAGGTCTGTTCCACATGTGCAAAGCACAGGGCTTGGAGGAGCTGTATGCCCACCAGGTGAGGGAGGAGGGATAGGCCCAGGTTCACATACCCTGGTATGGATGGGCTGCACCCAGGAGCTGCCACAGCCTTAGAGCATCACCTGTCCACCAAGTTCCTGCACACCTTGGGGTGAGGGGCAGAGTTGGAGATGGCAGTGAGGGCCCCAGTCCCTGCATCCCACCCAAGCAGTGGTGACAGGAGAACAGCCACTGAGAACCTTGCCCTTGGCCAGAACACTACCTCCACCACAGTGCTGAGCAGCAGGCCACATTCCTGGTAGGTGTTTCTTCCTTTTATTGCCAAGTTTCAATTTACAAGGAAGTTGCAGCTTTCCTTTCTACTCTCAGATTCAGTCCCCAAGTGTGTAAGTCCTGCTGCCTTATAGTAGGTATTTCCCTCCGCCAGAGAGAAGCGCTGAGCTTCCCAGCCTTGCTCCCCTCTGTGACAGTCATTCACAGCTTTTGCTCAAAGGAGCAATATGTTTACTGTATCACCTAAGGAAGATCAGTACAATTTACCCATGCCTTATTTACAATAGTGCATTTCAGAGGACAGAGAAAGCCCGGATGTCCTTAGGAGGGCCGCTGTCACTTAGACCCTGGCAATGCAAGTGTTTGGGTGGCCAGGCCGGGCAGGGTGGTGGAGAGGGGAGTCTGCTCCAGGAATCCCTTGCTGTTCTGGTTCTGCTGCCACCTCTGCCATCTGGGGACCTTACCATGCCCAGTGTGACCTGAGAGAAGTGCCCTAAGCCTTCCAAGCCTCCAAATGCAAAAGGGATGTGCATGTGCCACTGTGATAGTTAAAGCTGAGGTTTGGGGTTCACAGAGGGAAGGGTAACCATGGAGCTAGCACTCTGCAGGGACTTGGGGGTGGGGCTAACGGTTTTAAAGGTTTATCTGGGATCCCAGGTCAAAGGCCATTGTCCAGCTATAGGCTTTTCTAGATCTGCCCTCCCTGTAATTGACCAAGCAATACCCAGGGCTTGACTATAGGAGCCCAGGAGGCCCTCTTCCCAGTGGCCATCACTCCCCTTCTCTTACCCTATTCTCCCTCCCTTTTCTGGGGCTCTACTGAGCCTCCTGGCTCATCTTTCCTTGCCAGGGCATTTGGGGCTTCTGCCTTGGCCTTCTCTATGGCAAAAATGACCTTGTAGCGGTGATGGTGACAGTTGGGCGGGTATGCCTACTGGAGGGATTTTAAGAACCAGAAAGGCCTGGCTACATAGGTAATATTCCCCTCCTGGGGGACCATTAGATACCATTGGGAAGCTAAGCACTGTGGTCTGCAGGGAAGCTGGCTGGACAGAGGTGGGAAGGACCTCTGATGGGCAGATAAAAAAATGTTGGCATGCCTCCCAAGGTTAACATTATAGCCAGCCTTTGGTGGACACTGATGCCATCTGTGACCACACCTGCAGGAAAGCCACAGGCGGCCTTGACATGGAGCTGTGAGTGGTTTTCCGAGGGCAGAGGAAGGCTGGGAGTTGAGAGGACACACTTGGCTTCTCACTGGCACATGCCCAGCCTGACTGGGAAGAGAAGTGGGGTTTCACATTGAGAGGTGTTGTGGTGATGGCAGTAGTGGAGAGGGAGGGACAGACTCAGGAACTCTTAGACCACCTGCCTTGCTGCCGGGCTCCTGGCTGGGCATCTGTATGCACAGTTGGCAGCAGGTGACTTCTGAGGATGGCTTCCTATGCCTTGAGTCCTTTGATTCCTGTCACAGCCTCTGGGACTGGGGCCTCCATGGTCCTAAATGGCTCTTTCTCAGATGCAGAGAGATGGTACTGTGTCTGTTGGAAGTTGTGCCTGCCTGGCATCAGAGACAGGTAAGGAACGTGTTCTGAACAGGGGGCAAAAAAGATGTCACCTAGGTTGCTTCATGGCACAGAAGCTTCTGACCGTCTTGTTCTGTGGGACCTGAGAGCATATGGATCTCATCTTTTTCTCAAAAATAATCTAAATGTTTGAGGAAGACACATTTATCATTCCACAAGCTTGCAGAGTTAGTAACAGAAGAATCATTTAGAAAAAAAGTGACACCCATAACCTTCAAACAAAATAGTTCAAAGGGGAATAAATCTGAGTAGCTCACATATTTTTAACATGACACCAAACCTTATGGTTGGATTTTTTTTTTTTTGGCTCTCCGCCCCCCAAAATAGTCACATTTTTTTGAGACAGGGTCTCCCTGTAGCTCCACCTGGCCTGGAACTCACTACGTAGACCAGGCTGGCCTTGATCTCACAGAGATCCACCTGCCTCTGCCTCCCTAGTGCTGGGATTAAAGGCATGGATCACCATGCCCGGCTTTAAACAGATGATTTTTAAATAAATCTTTCAATCTGTTGCCAAAACCAGAAATAAATAGCCCAAAGAGATGTTTATCTAGGTTTGCTTCCCTACAGATTTCTACCCAAAGTCACCTTCTCCACACCTGTGCACGCTGGGAGTGGAGACAGGGTAGCTGCCTGAATGGGGGTGCCGGTGGGTCCTGCCATGTGGGGCTGCTGGGCTTAGAGACAGGGGCCCGGTTCCCCAAGACGGTCCATGCTCTTCTTTGTACACAGTAAGCTGTCTCGAGGGATCCCAGCTTGCTCTGAGAAAGGTTAGCGCATAAGAGGAACTTGGATGGCTCATAGCTGTCTTGCAGGGACAGGTGGCAAGGAGTTTCCAGGGTCACCGTGGGTGCTCTTGATGTGTCTTGCTGTCAACTGCACTGGGTCCCTACCAGCGGGCCACAGACACAGGGAAACCCCTGGTGCTTGCTCAGTGTTCAGTGGGTACTGGAGGGTCTGCGTCTGAAGACTCATTATCTGGGGTCTCTGTGCCTACTGTGGTTGGTGTGGCAGGTTGGGGGATGCCAGCGAGGGTGCGAAGGCTGTGGGGGTCAACCGGGGGTACGATGGTCAGAGATTCGACACTCAGCGTGTCAGCAGTGTCCTCATAGAGGAGGGAGATGGTGGGCTGCTGGGCAGGGAGTAGGCTGGGGGACAGGTGCACGGTCTCCACTTCAGTGCCCCTGGCCAAGTTCTTGCTGGGCTTGGAGTTGGCATCAGTTTCATTCACAATCACCACCTGATCAGGAAGGTGAGGCCGAGGCTGTTCCGGAGCTGTGGGGACATCTGGGTGGGAAAGAAAAATGAGGGACATTTTTAGCTCTGGTGACACTGTGCTCAGCTGGTACCTGCCACTCCTGTCCTGAACTGAGGTGGGGAAGCTTGAGTAGACTGCTGGATTAGGGGCATGGTCTGGTTCTACCTACAACCTTTGGGGACTCAGAAACTGCTAAGTCTGGTGTTACTAAGGCCTGGGGAGCGTGAGTCAGGGTCAGGGCACCCCTGACTTGTGATGGCAGGGAAAAACCTTGTGAAAAAGCAACATGTGGATTCTGAAGGTAGGACCTGGCCTGGGCAGGCTTTGTGTGCAGGTGAGCCTGGACAGGCTGCCTGCTGATAGATACATAACTGGAAAGTAAATGGGCTGGGGTATACCTGCAATTCCAGGCCATCACAGAGGCTCCATTCAGAGATTTGCCATGGAACCCGGTGCAATAGTGAAAAGAAAAATTAGTACAACTTGCTAGTTTCTGAAACATTGGACTATGGTTTGCTTCTGCCTCTCCAAGCACTGAGTTAGCACCTACCAAGAGGATGCGCTTGCCTGGGTGGCTACTCCTCTAAGCTTCCCACCAGGGCTAAGAAGATTATCCACCAGCCTCCACCCAATGGAGTATTTTCAGAATGGAAGTTTTCAGTGCTTTTAAAAATCCTCTATTAGACTGTGGGCAGGTATATGATGACCATTTGCTTTCCAGTGGTGAGTTGGCGGGGAATACATGGAGCTCAGGGCATTAGCCCCCAGGACCGTAGAGGCTGAGCATCGGAGACCTTGAGAGAAAGTGTTGGCATCCTGCTTGGGCTGCAAGTTCTTACTAGTATGGATTTTGTGGTCAACCAGCTCTGGGAAGAAGGTGTCAACTACTCAGCTGTAGAGCTGTGTGAGGGTACTCAGGCCCCTGGGTGGAAGGGAGGTTGTTTTGTTTCAATGCGATTCCAGTTGAGATCATTTGTTTTCTTATTTAAGCCAAAATAAAATAGAAAAGGGAATTGACATACAGCAAAAGAATGGAAGAACAAAGAGCAAAATAAAACCAGGCAACATAAAGAATGGGTTGGCGCGTGGAGGAGCGCCCCAGGAGAAAGGAAAGTGCACCCTCACTCCGACTCCCAGTGAACACTTCCCTTCTTCCCGCCAGAGTCTGGGCTGTGAGTTCTGGAAGGGCCCAATAGCTTCTTGAAGCCTTTATTTTTATTATTTTTTACATTATTGGGGATGGAACCTCAGGTCTCAGACATGATGCCAGTTGAGTGTTTTATCTGAACTAATGCCCCAGCTAGGCCTCTCTTAAAAAAGAAAAAAAAGACAAAGAGAAAAAAAGAGAGAGCAAGGAAGCAAGAGGAGGTCTATAGAAAACCGCTCTGGGCCAGGTCCATGGTTAAGGGACCATGGGTGTCAATGATGTAAAAGGCAACGCAGGTGTGAGCTGAGCCCAGAAGTTCTGTGTCATGGCACTCGTCCATGCTGGTTTCTCAGGCTTTGAATTAACTTGATGCATTGTGACCTGGTGTGACCTTGTGCAAGCCACCTGGCCTGCTGTTGGCCAAGCTGACGGTGGCGTCTCCAAGCAGCGCTCAGCAGCCCAGTGACCTCCATGCAAGCTTCAAACAGGCTGAGCCCATCTGGGAACTCCCACACATGAGGCAGCTTGGAAGTGATTAACTCTGCCAGTGGCTGTCCTGCCATCTGGGGAGGGATGGGAGGTAGCGCTGTCTTCCTGGGCTCTCCCTTCTTTCCTGGCTCTCTAGGGGGGCTTTTGCTTATGAGAATAATCAGGGAGGCAGGAAGATTGTAGTCAAATCCATCAAAAACACAAATCAACAAACAATATCACATGCACAAAATTGCTTCCTTTAGGAAAAGAACAACTTTTTTGTTAAAAGGGCCATATTTTTCCCCTTTGAAGAATACTTTTAATAGGAAAAAAAAATTATGCTCTCTTGCCCCTCCCCCAAGCTAAGAATGACTTCCTGAATGTGGGCCATAAATTAGTTCAATGAAAGGGGGGAAAAAAGAGAAGTGTACAGGTTTCTCTAGGAAAAGTCATTCGCAAGGCTGCACTCAAGGCCTGAGCTGTAAAGGTCATTTTATTTGTTGGGCGCTTGGCATCTTTGGTCTGTTGGGTTTTGGGCCTGAAGGACAGTGACTAGGTCCAGGAAATGAGGGCTTTGGAGAAGGCTAACTTCCAGGCCATGGGTGGGGAGCCAGGGTCAAGGCTGGAATGGCACCTGTGCTTCTGTGAGGGCTGGACAGGCCTGTGGCCTCTTGCCTGTGAGGACACTTTGAAGTGTCCTGGCTGGCCTTCAGAAGTGAATCTTCAGCTTTGTAACACTAGCTCAAGTGCTGGCTTCTAGAAATGATATGGATTGGTTGTGCGTGTGCTGGCAAGGCAGGCAGTGCTGTGGGAAGATGGAAGGGCTCTGCGTAGAAAGCTGGGGCAAAGCTCAGAGGACCCGCTGGCAAACGGAAAAGAAGGCAAAGGACTCCTGCTCACAAGCACACTGCCAAAGCATGGACATGTCCGCAGCCATGGGAGAAATGTCCCAGGAGGGGTGGCAGTGGTGGCAGGCTCACCTCTCCTGGTGACATTTAGCATGAGTACTGCATGGGAAGGGTGAATGATGATGTCTATCACAGAGGTGACATTGGGCCATGGATGGTGACTGCATGTGCTGCTTAGCTTTGGCCAAGGCAAAGGAAAGAAGGAAACTAGGTTGCTTTTTATAAGCTTTCAGCTCTCCAGCCAATGGTGGGCTGAACCGTAGGGACCTGTGTGGACACATGGGACAGGGCCTCCAGCTCAGGGCTGACTCTGGGAGGCCACACTGAGCCTGATGCTGGACAGGACTCCAGGGACAATGACAGTGCTCTGGGTTGCACAGGAAGGACTGATCTGGGGCAGAGGGCTATGGGATGTGGCCTTCAGAGAGAGGAGGTCAGAAAGAGCAAGAGGTAGCTTCGGGGAAGCTGAGAAACTGAGATAGGGATGACTCTCTCACGGCCTAGTGCCCTGAGTTTGGGCCCAGCTTGCCTGCCTTGCTCATGCTGACCCTGTTGCATGTGGCAGGGATGTTGTGGGCCCATAGGGGATCCTGGAGTTGACCTGCCTGATTTGATTGTGCACGAGTTGCCGTGGCAGCTGCTGGTCGAAGCACTAAACCCAGTGGCCGCCGTGACTGTCGGCCTCCGACAGGCTGAACACTCGCCGGCGTCCTTTCCTGCCACTCTTGACTAGAGGGAAAACACAGCGACAGATCATAGAAAGCCTTTAACAATGGAACGGCGAAGGTGACGTGAAGAGAGGGACACAGAGCAGCGATGGACACTGAGCATCGACGAGAGTGAAGGGAGCAGGGTTATGCCTGGAGTGGGCTGGTATCCAGCTTGTATCTAGACTGCCAGCCCACTGTGCAGACAGGACATCCCCACGCTGCCCCCAGAATGAGCCAGGATCAGGAGATCTAAGAAAATAATTGTTCACTAATGCAACTTTTTTTTTTTTTTTTTTTTTTAGACAGGGTCTCGTGTCATCAAGGCTGGCCTCAAACCCTGCTCTGTAGCCAAGGATAACTGTGAACTGATTCTCTTGCCTCCACCTCCCAAGTACATGGAAAATAGGCATGTGCCAGGCCTGGTTTATGTGGTGGTTAGGATGGAACCCAGACTTTGTACATGCTAGGCAAGCACTCTACTGACTGAGCTGTAGCCCCAGCCCCTCACTCATGCAATTTAATATGGCCAGAGACAGAGAAAGTTCCATCCTGTTGGAAAGGGAAGATGTGGGTCGTTGATAAGCTCTGGTTGGTCAGAAAGCTCAGGAGACAAAAGGACAAAACTACCTATCAGTTTTACCTGGGACCCACCTTCCTTACAGCAGACAGAGGAGGGCAGGTGTGTGGTCTTGGAGGATTGGAAGCAAACCAGAGTAAACTAGGCAGAATTCTAACCTTATAGAGGGTGACATGGAGGGGCTGGCTCAAGTTCTGGGAAAATCCTGGATGCTGGAGGTGTCCTGACACTTCTCTTAGCCCCCTGGTGATGGTCAGGGGTGAGCTGACAACCCCCACCTTGGGAACCCAGAGAAGGAAATGTGGCCAAGTGGGTGTGCATCAGCTGGAACAGAAACACAAGGAATGGCTCATGGTGGGTGCAAGGTCATGTTTTCAGAGACAAACTGCAAGAACAGGGCTCAGAGTAATGCTGCAGAGGACAATGGGAACACGCCAGGAGCATGCCTAAATGCCATGGGATGAAGTACCAAGAATGGCCATAATGGTACACTTCATGATAGGTATATTTTGCCACTGATTAAAAAAAAAATACAGTGCAACAGAGAAAACTGGAGAAAAGACAGTGCCTTCTTCTCGGAGTGTCTGCCTTTGAAGGTTGCCTGGACTGGGCAACCAGGCTTCAATGAGGGTCAGGGTATGCGAAAGTCAAGGTGGGGTGCTCAAAGAGAGGGCACAGGGAAGAGGAGCACCTGGGGAGGGAGGTCACAGAGGTTGTAGACATTGAAAACACAGAAGCCAGCCCCTTCTTTTTTCTTGTCAGGCCAATGCTGGCTGCAGCACACAGCCCACCTTGACTAAAATGGCTAGTTATAAGGGCAGGCTGACCTTCACTCTGATATCATTTCAAATAAACCCTCTTCTGCTTTCCTCCTCAAAGAGGCTCCCCAAGAACCTGTGAAACCTAGCTCATCTGGACATCAGAAGTGCAAGGGGCTAAGGAGCTCAGGGTAGGTCACAGAGTCATATCTGAGGGGACAATTTTTCATCAGGATCTCATGTAGAAGCTGGGTGGGTGTCATATGCCTGTCATCCCAGCACTTGGAAGACTGAGGTAGGAGGAGTGCCAGTTCCAGGCTAGTCTGGGATATATGGCAAGACCTGTCGTCTCAAGAACAGAATTCCTCAGTGTCTGAGTGTGTACAGTTGGGTGTGACTGTGTGTGTGGCCATCTGCTTATGCTTGTGTGTGCACATGATCACATGGGTCATCATGAA